ATGTGGTATTTAGTTTACTGTTGTCCTGAAGAAGCAGAATGAGGCCACTGATCTCTAGTAAGTTTGCAGAATGTGTTTGTGTAAGGGGCTATATATGTGTTTTATTGCTTGAGATCTACATTATACTAAAACTTTGATGGTGCTCTAGTAATGACTCTTAAACACAAGTGTTGCTTCCAAAAAGGAAACCACTTCAGTCTGAAGAAGAAAACGCACAGTGGCAGCTGAAGAGGTATTTATGCTTTAAAATTACAGAAAACTAAACAACTGCAAACTAGTGATGAAAAAAGGGTGTGGAGCCTGACTCTCTAGCTGACAAGAGGTGTCCTGTTCGAGCTCCTGCGATCCGCGCTGGTTTTCTAGGGATAACCTGGCCTACAGTGTTTAAACCATCGGGCCAAGATGCCGCCTACCCGGGAGCACCTTCACACTCTGTTTGAGACCTCTCCTGAAGCCATTGGCCACCGGGAACCTCGGCGGCAGTTGCGGCCTACATGCATAAGAGCTGAGGGAAGGCGACTGATTTCCTCACTCACACAAGAGATGAACAACGCTCCCGATCTCCTACCCTCCACCTCCCCCCCTCAACCAGTGGGGGTTATTCTCAAGATGGCAAAAGGCAATATCCCAGAGAATCAAAGTCGAAAGGGAAGGCAAGGTGATTTAAGGCATCATATAGAGTGCGCCTTGCTGCGTCTAGAAGATATTTTCAATTGATCTATGGCAAAAAAGAGGAGAGAGCAGCGGCAACACTACATCTAAGTCGCAAGTCTGATCAGGAGCAAGTACAGCAGAGAGAGCATGAGAGAGCCAATGCTGGGCGAGGATCCTACTTCAATGCCTGTTCCACATAGCACAGGCTTACCTAGGACAGGGGCCTACAGGGCGTTGACCCTGCGACACAGTCCAAATCAGCAGCAGAAAGCCAGCAACAGGAATTTCCAATCCAGCGGGAATCTTTACTGTTCCTACTCGGGGAAGGACTTGACTTCTCTGCACCATAAAGTCCGTGGATGGAAGCAGTTCGCCCCTAATAAAACCTGGGACTTGCAAGATACCTGACCTTGGAGCCGGATGGCTGCCTCTGCCGGTGGAAGGCCAGCTTACTTCCTGTGCTTGCTGACTATAGGAGTCGGGTGACTCTCTCCTCCTTATAACATGGCAACCTACTGCCTAGAACTTACATTCTTACCTAGCTATGTGTTTTAAAGCTATATTGCGTTATAACAGTTGATTTAATTTGCCTCTCAGTGGTGGTAATATCCATTTTTATTGCTTAAGTGCTGCAAGTATTATTATTATTCTTGAATTAAACTTCTCATGCCTCGCAAGTCTGACTAGATTCAAGTTTAGCTTCTATTAAATGTTCAGACATGTGGGCTTAGCATGTTTATGTAGCCTGTTATTATTTATTATTTTATTCTATTTTACAAAAATCAGTGCAGTATATCTGACAATGCATGTGACATCGTGTACCATTTCCTCGTGTATAGTTTGTAATTGTAATGTCTCTACTAAGCTTGTTAATTTTCACTTTGCACTGGATAAAAATAAGGAATGTAAAAAAAAAAAAAATGTGTTGAAAAAATATCAAGTGCATATGTTATATTTATATTTACAATATGCAGTCCATACAAAATGTTGGTACTAATGTTTTGAGAAATATTTTTTTATATTTGACTTTCCCTAGAAGAGACCTCCTTATTGAGGATGTTAAAATTCTTCTGTGGTTGAAGCAGTAGTATCAGCAGCGTCTGTGTTATCTCCAACATTTATCTCAGGGTTTTCATAAATTATTACTGTCTAAAATGAAATATAAATATAATATGTTAGTTGCAACGTAGTTATTTATTATCTAAAATTGCTAACATTTTGAATATTCTAAAACAATAAATTATGTAAGATCATGAGCATTCTCAACATTCTGCTAGAATTAATTATTTTAATAACCAAAAAGTGGATAGTGCTTAAAAAAATAAATAAATAGTGCTTGTGAAAAAAAGTGTTGTTGGTCAAAATATACTTAGCATACATTGATCAAATAAAATATGTAAAAAAAATAAAAAAAACACAATCTAGTGCAGATTATCCTTATTATAATACCCTGTGCTTCATGTACATATATGAGGGTTACACTCACATTTACAAGAGTCATATCATCCCTAGCTCTGGTTCAAAAAGGCTCCACTTGAGAGGGAATAACTCCCACAATGCTCTGGCGTCAAGACTTTAAAGGGATTCTCCAGTGCCTGGAAAACATATTGATTTTCCTGGGACTGCAGGACCCTCTAGTGCCCCTCTCCCTCCCACCCTCATCCCAAATTGCTGAAGGGGTTAAAACCCCTTCAGTGACTTACCGGAGTCCAGCGCCGATGTCCCTCGGTGCTGGGTCAGGCTCCACCTTCTCTCCTCCCCCACCAACGTTAGGCGGCGGGGGAGACCTAATGCGCATACGAGGCAATGGCCGCGCACGCACATTAGATCTCCTCTTGGGAAAGCATTGAATAATGCTTTTAATGCTTTCCTCTGGGGATTTCCTCGATGCTGGGGGTCCTCACATAGCGTGAGGATGTCCAGCGTTGTTTTAAAACACTTTTCGTGTTCTATGAACACGGAAGTCCCTCTAGAGATAAAGAGCAGACAGCCACTAGAGAAGGACTTAACCCTTGAATGTAAATATTGCAGTTTATGAAAACTGCAATAGTTACACTTGCAGGGTTAAGGGTAGTGGGAGTTGGCACCCAGACCACTCCAATGGGCAGAAATGATCGGGGTGCCTGGAGTATGCCTTTAATTCCCCAAAATTGGCACTTTTAGTGTGGAATTGCTGCAGGGATGACAGAACCAGGAAACCCCAATATCATAGTATAACAAATTTTATTATGCATAAAACAATTAAAACTGCTTACTCAAAGCATCGGTGGGTTATACCATATAGTAATCCCACAAAAAAGCAAAATTGCAGCATAAAACGCTGACTTGCGTGTGTTACTTCCTGGTTTTGTAAAGATGCCAGGTTCCGGCTCCGCCACCTGATGACGTATCATGTGACACGTTTCGCCCCGCCTTCTGTGCTTTGGGTTTCCTGAGACAATGTCATGGTACTTCCCACCTCCTTATGAATATTTACTCCGCCCATTCAAGTCTCTGATTGGTCAAAAGTTCGTAATGGGGCGAGGGACGTTTATAGCAGCTACAGTCATTTAAAGCTCATAGGGAATCATGCTAGTAGTCTATTGTAAGCAGGGACGGACTGACCACTCAGGCACATCAGTCATGGACCGAGGGCCCGAGACAGCCAGGGACCTGGCCACACAGCCATTCTCCAGCTGGAGAGATTAGAGATTTCTCCAACTGGAACGGCAAAATAAAAAAATATCTTCCCTCAATAGGTTGTCGGGCCCCGGAGGATGCATAGGGCCACAGCAACCTATTACTCTGCACATTACCCCCCTTTTCACTCCCACTGACTGAGACCTGGCAACATTACCTGCTCTCTGCAGGGTCTCCTCCTTCCTGTCCCACGTGGTGCTCTGTGTGCTGGGAGAGGCGGGGGTAGGAAGTGACACCACTTCCTGCACTGTCCTATCACACGGAACATTCTCACAGCCACAGAACTGAGGGGGAGCACAGAGACCACAGAGAGCAGGGAAAAGGTAGGAAGAAAAAAGGTGGATATGGGGAGAGACCATAGGGGGCAGAAAGAGGTAGGAAATAAAAAGGGGAAGATAGGGAGAGACCACAGGGAGCAGAGAGAGGTAGAAAATAAAAAGGGGAAAGTAGGGAGAGACCACAGGGAGCAAAGAGAGGTAAGAAATAAAAAATGGGAAGAGTTACAAGGGTCAATTGGCAGCACATGACTCCCCGGGTGGTCCAACTGTTCGGGAGTTGGTTAGGCATATGAAGCACAGTGTATTACAATAAGGATAATCTGCACTAGATTGTTAATTATTTTTACATATTTTCTTTGATCAACGTAAACTAAGTATATTTTGAGCGCAACACTTGTTTATGGTTTTTAGAATTAATTATTAAAGAATATTTAGAATAATTATTACCGAAGAAGAAGAGAATATTAATTATTATCTAATAACATTTTAAACCTACTCCAACAATTCATATTTAACCCCTTAAGGACCAAACTTCTGGAATAAAAGGGAATCATGACATGTCACACATGTCATGTGTCCTTAAGGGGTTAAAGTGGGTTCCTCAGCAGCATATTCACTACTTCTAATCCGGGTGCTGAACTCTACTTTACTGTCAACCCATATGGGAGCAGGTTGACAAAAAATTAAGTCACACTATAGTCACCAGAACAACTGCAGCTTAATATAGTTGTTTTGGTGAGTATAGTCAGTCCCTGCATGCTTTTTTCTGTAAACACTGCCTTTTCAGAGTAAAGGCAGTGTTTACATTGCTACACCTCCAGTGGCAGTCACTCAGATGGCCACTAGAGGTGCTTCCTGGGTCAGTGCGGCACATTGTGCACAATACATGTTTGTGTTCCTGACCCTATAGTGCGCTTTTCAGGGCTCCCTCTGGCACCCAGAGACAGTCCCTTCCTTGGCCTTGTAATGGCACATGCGTGGCGCATGCGGCTTCCAGGGGGTGCAGTGTGGCAGCCATGATGTCTCCGGTCCCACGCGTCTCCAGCAATGAATGCCATGTGGTGCTCCTAGTGCAGAGCAATGTCTGCACACCCTCTCTTTTTGCGAGTCTGCCGGATCACTGTGGCAGCCTTGCACCACCTACAGGAGACCTTTGAAATTACAGGACCCTGTAGGTTTAGTTTTTTTCTTAATATTATTAAAGTGACAGGTCATGCTTCTTGGACATATCATCTGCCCTTCACAGATCACACCACTTTGTGGGATTTGGTGCAAGGTGATGATGCTGG